GATCCGAAAAAAGGGGACAAAAAGCGAGGCTGCAATTTTCTTCTTGTGCTACTTTTCATCCCTCTTTGTTTCCTACAATGGATAAGCCTATTAGTGCACGTTTCTTTTCCCTCACTCTCTAAATCCGTAGGCTGTGGGAGAAGACACAATATATATTAAGGATTATTAAGGATATTTTAGCAGTTTTTATGTTCACCGCCATACCTTAAACTCAACAATAAATATCTAATTTGCAATCACCTTGTTAGACCAATCTGCATTAGAAAGTGTGGCAAATTATTCACTCCAGAAGGGAGGAAAAAAGTGAAAAAAAGTCCTGGATCCGTCATCTTAGCCACGCAAAGTGCCAGGATGAAGGACAAGGTCATGCCGTCTTAAAAGGTCACGTGACCGCGAGAGGGTGGAGCCGCAGGAGTCAACAGCAGCAACCCACGGGAGTCGCTACGAAAGTCTTGCGTAAGTGGTCGCTCTGGCGGCCGCGCGCAGGGCCAGGTGCTGCACTTGCCCGCACGCGTCCCTGGCCGGTCCTCGCCGCCCGCAGAACTCGCATAATGTAATCGCTGGTATTGCAGAACGCCCGTCAGAGCCTTGCCATACTTGTTGAACTTTGTGTTCTTTTTTTGTCTCTCCGTCCTGAGAGTTTAATGGTCTCAAAGCTTAATGATGCAATGGTTTATTGGCCGAAATAGCGCGTGGGTGTGGAATGTCGAGTCTGAATATTTGTAATTCGCTTGCATTTCAAGTCTAGTTGGGGACACGATAAAACGTCATGTATATATTTTCATCACGCGTTTCATAATATGCCCAGTAGTGTAAGAACTTGAAAAGCAATAAAACTAATACATTTTCTCATTAATGAAAAGAAAAAAAAAATATATATATATATAAATAAATGATTATAGTTAGTAATTAGTATTCATTCTTCCAATGACTATTAGTAATTAGTATTCATTCTTCCAATGACTATTAGTAATCTGTATTTTCCTGAAGATGATATTGTATCCATGCCTGAGTTTACGACAGTTCCCATCACTGACGTGAATTTAGTTTAATTTGGACACACATTTTCTTATGTACAATGAGATCCATGCTCTCCATTATAACACTTTTCCGTTTTTGCAGTGACCCGTACATTTTCTTGTCTGATATGTATAAACTGTGGTTTATCTTTCCGTTATAGTAACAATGTTATCAAAGTCTTGCCATGGTTAACATAAGCATTACATCACAAGAATTACGGTATCATTTCTTATTGCCGAATCGTTAATTGCATATCATTCTGCATATCATAGCGTTGTGGAAAAATGTATTCTCGTTGATCTCTTTTGCACACATCTCCATTGTTTTTTGGTGAAGGACGGGCATGGACCAGTTGATATGAGATCGAAAGTTTTCAAGGTCATTTCGTGTTAACAGTATGTCGAGAGGTTATGGAAAAATTCATAGAGAAAAGACATGAGGTATACATATAAAAGCCTCCACTTCCATATATATATGATAAAAATCTTAGTTCACTTTAATAATTTCACCCAATTAACGCTCTGATGTTACTGACTACACAAAAAAATGAGAGTTGTGAAATTAATCTGAACGAAAGTCCACGCATTGACGTTTCGTCATAATTGAATTTCTCATCAATTTGACATTTACAGTACTTAGTTATGTAAGTAAAGTAAAATATGCGTAAATAAAGTACCATGTAATGAACCAATGCTACGACGTCCAGTTCGGTATAAAACGAACGAAAGTGAAAAAGGTTACATACATGGAAGATGTAATAAGCATTGTCTTGTCACATGAACGCATCACTCTGGCCCTATCTATCGAAGTATTCATGGAATAATATAATTAACTTCAACAAGATATACAAAAAACAAACCTCATCCCGGACCTTCTTTAGGGCTCGACACACGGAGTAATCAATATTGCTTTAAGTAAAAAAAGTCAGTACATTCATAGCATAGTAGGAGATAATCTCTCTCTTAATGTGTGAATGTAAAAATGAACGCTATTCAAGCTACAAAGATATGAATAGAAGAGTTTAAAATGCGAATGTATAAGTATTTGTGTATGCTTCCACACATACTATGGAGGTACATTGCTACATAGATTAATAGATGAGACAGAGAGAGAGTGTATGTGTGGGTGGGTGCGTCGCATGCATGCACACCCACTGTTATAAATATATATGATACATATGTACATATACACATATACAGACATATATGTATACATGTAGATGCATTATATATATACATAATATGTATCCATGTATGAATACATAAAGATATATAGAATAGATGAATACATATAAAGAAATAATGATACGAAATGTCATCTAAAGTATAAATCATATAATTCTCCATGACTGCTTTCGCCGCACCCAGAGCTGAAGTAAGAAGAGTAAAAAAAGAATTGTCCTCACCTGACCTTGCGCCATCGCTGTGCTGAGACAGATATATAATGTTCAGGCACTGAGTGACCAGCCTCCGGGCTAGTA